TTATTTAGATGTAGAAGTTAGAGTAAATGTAGTCCTATAAAGCGTTTAAGATAAGTCTCTGGTGGGAACACTTTTGGTTTTTGTTATTGCACGTTCCAAACTGCAAACGTCACGTGAATAATTAATGTGCGAGAGATTTGATTTCTACTTAGTCACCTGCTTTTGTGGCTGGTATGGTGTTGGGCAGTAAAATAATATGGCGAAACTTTTCTTGGTTACCGTGGCACACCTTAAGGTTGTTTACCGCTTGTAGTCAACGGCACTGGTTAAGAGAAATGATTTATTTAAACAATCTTGTCAAGTTTGCTTACGTTCTCTCTCCTTATCCTCTCCTCACCAGTTCTTTTTTGTACTTTTCATACTACTTATTAATATTCAGTAAATAGTTGTATCCCTAACAATTTTTACCTGTATGTTGTAACGCAAGTTTGTCGTGTAATGTTCTAAAGTATTTACATATATTTATAACGTTTATTGTACTTATCATTATCATTACTTCCTCTCAATCCCCGTAGCAGTTATTCTCAATTTTGTATGGTCGTTGAATATTTGTTTATACATAACAGTTTCCATATTTGTTTGCTTTTGCTTCCATCAAAATTAGACACAGCTGTCATTTACACTATCGTATGCCATATTTATTCTTTATGTTATCATTTTCAAGAGACCATTTTTCCTTCAAACTTATAGACGCGCTAAGCACTACCTCACTAGTTGAGGTTTGTAACTAAGTTATATTTATTCCTCAATAAAGGACCGCTTTTTAGATAAATGGCTGTTTTATGAACTAGGGTTTCGCACGTATCTCAGTCGTGTAATTAGACGCTTCAATAGATTTGACAAACGTCATGTAGGTCTACTGCTCATTTGGAACAATTGTATTTGTTATTAAGTTTTGTTTATAAATTGCTTCTAAATTAATACACCCGAATTGTAATGCTCTAGTAGACAACTTCAAAGTAATCGTATCCCCCATTGTATGTTCTTGTAGTCAAGCAAATATGTGGCCGATGGATCCACGGTCTGGATGAGGCCTAACCTACTCTTTACAAGTTGGTTTTAGACTCATGTACTACATGGCGGTAGTCAGTATTTTAAATGCAACCGATATCAAATTATTATTGAGTCAGTTATCTTGATGTTCCACACATCGCGTCATTGACGTCGGGTTTGTAGCTTCAGGTAGCTTGAGTGGGACAGCCCCCGATATTTATAAGATTCAGATGGTATCTCCATTTTGAACACTAGGCTTCTCATGCCGTACTCATGTTTTGTGTAATTATCATCATGGGGACTTTTGCCAACAATTCGTCCTATTAGAGTGACTTGGAATCATAAACTTGTGTGACACCTACTGAAATTCAGTGTCTTAAGGGATTAAAATATTTCTTACCTAACATTTCACTTTTTGGTTGTCTTTGGCTACTAACCAAACATAAAAAAGCCAGCAGGATGATGTAATTTGATAATATATTTCGTAATCTGGTACATTTCGATTGTAACTCAGAGGAGCATAACAGAAATAAAGGAAAGATGTGTTACTTCTTATTCTTATTAATCCATAACATGGCTGTTGATAGCGATTCAGGCAATTATTTTTGCTCTACCTTTGAGGTCTGATACTACTCAGGAGCTAATGAGGCTGGAAGTCAATGGGACATGGTCCAAATGCACGGGAAACACCGAAAAATTTAATGGTTATAGATTCACAGTACTAAAATCTTAAATAAACATCTCTAAAGTAGAACTAAGGTTTACGGGATTTCCAGATCACTAACACGTTTTCGATATGCATCACCTTAGAATCCTCACGAGTAGCAGATTCAAATGACGTATGATTTCAAACTAGCTTCATCAGACATTGTATTGAAAGAATAACCTTTTGATAGCAATTGTATGATGATTTGGGACTGTTTTTACAGACCAAAAAGTTCTATTATAGTCTACTTGCTAAGTGAGAAAATTCCAAAATGAGGTTGGGGAAAACTGAGTCACCTAGAATGAAAGCAATATAGAGCTGCTGTTTGATATAAATTAAATTTGTTTGTAACAAAGTACGATTTTAATGCACATGCAGAACAGTTTATTTATCCCGTTGATCTACGATTGGTTTGGTTTATATAAATAATCGTCACACCGTCGGCCTTACCTGAGTTTTCGGGCTATAATAATCATTAAGTTTACTTCATTAAACATTTTCTGATTTTTGGTGTTGTGGAGTGAAGAAATTTGCTCAAGTAATGTCGGATTATCATGTATCAGTTAGTTAAAAGAATCAGTACGTTCGGAAAAGTCAGATCTGACCAGTTTCTGTTTTTTATTTAACTTATTTTAAGGGTAGTCAAAACAACAAGATTAATCCTTAAATGGCTTATTGTTTAGCGAATTAACTCCTGTAACTTTATCCAGAAAACCAGTTGGAGTGAATAATATTGGAATAATTAGTGGTCATCCTACTTTTTTCTAGGCAAATTGAACAAATGTTAAAAACATTTTCAATGTTACAAATATGCCTTTCGAAGTTCTAGGCACTTGTGACGGACAAGTTCAGTGTCACAGAAGTCATCAGCCTTCAATGATACCATGATCAGGTTACCTTAGCTGGTATGAATAAATGTTTAAAGCTTGTGAGCCATGGTCAAGTATATGACTATACAAGTTACTTCTGAATCACATTTCTACTAGGCATACAGAGCTTAGAAAAATGCCACAATATTTTGTTTTTCTGCATACACTAGAGATAGTATGAACCTAACTGTAAGAGTATATTTCAGTAAATCTCGTTATGTGTCCACATACACTTGGTAGTCAGAAAAAAAATTGGCTAGTAAGGCAATGTTGATTTTATTTTTTTAAAAAAACATTCATTTCAGAATATACTTATTCACCTTAGTAACTTGACTTTTGGGGTTACTAGCTCATCATGTGTATATAATATATCAGTTAAAAGTCAGTAATCGTTACTCAAGTGAATGTAGTGTACTTTGTGAAGCATTCCTCCTGCGTAGTCAACAGTTATGTCGACTTTTTATATATGAATCGGACGTTTTGGGTCTCGATCGTCGTAGATTTGTTCAGTGAACATTAAATTTTGCCACGAGTAGAGTAGATTTAACTTACAGAACTAATATCTGAATGTTAGTGAAAGGTATTTGCCAAATCATGAATCGTGATACTGCAGTTCTAAAAATATAACTCACAGAATTTTTTGATTGAGGTCATGAACCGATTGATGTTAGATCATCATTGAAAACCTGGGAGCACTCGACGGCCGTTTCGTCCTACTGTGGGACTTCTCGGCAGTGCGCATCCACGACTCCGCTCGCGGGATTCGAACCCAGGGCCTCCAGTCTCGCGCACGAACGCTTAACCTACTGGACTACTGAGCCGGCATCTAATTTTGCGTAAGACGCGACCATACTTACGGATTGTCCTAAATCGCATCATCGCATTTTGCGATTTGAAATATTCAACTGTTTCACCACCAAAATTGGATCTAGTTCTCGTCCGAGTAAAATTTTATGTCTAATTAGCAATTTCAATATGTTTTTTTGCCTAACTGGTGAATAAGATTTGCATTCCACCCAGTGTAGTCTATTGTACACAGACTGGTAAAATTACAGATTTTCTGCAATTAAGACCAGTGCATTTCAGTTTTAGAAAAAATTAATATTCAACAAATACATCACTTGGAGAATTAATGCATTTATAATGGAAAACTAACTCTCATAGATGAAAAAAATTCACTAGTCTCAATGTAATGCCTGAAGGTGGGAAAATGGCATCTATCACAGTCCTAATAACCAGAAGATTAGAAAATTTGAGATCTATGGATTACTAGTTCATATACAGTAAAGAAAAATTAAGTCTTAACAATCATTTATTCTAATGTACAAATCAATATTATTGTGTTCGTCTCACTTCATAAACATACACATACTATATTCATTGTGTATAGCATCTCAATTCACTGTCAGAACATTCATTTCTTTCTAGCATCATGTATTTTTCTGTAAACATTTAAACCACATCTAGTTATTCAATGCATCTTTCTATATTATTCAAATTTATAGTATTAGTTTTTGACAATAATTACAAATTAACATCAGTATTCATATCGATTTTTATTAACTAAATTCTGAACTATACTTTTTATAGGTATCATTACCAAGGTTTGATTTGATAATTTCGAATAAATCGAGCATTGGGTAGATTGTTATAAATAAATAATATATTTGTAATATCTCAATAAGTAGAAAAATTAGATTTTCTGGTGTTTCGTGGCTTAATGTAAGTCACTTCTTCAGAGAATAAATAACCAAATTAAAATTAATCCAAGTTTAAATAGTACAACGGACTTACACTAAGTCATGGAAACGTCAGAAAATCCAATTTTTCTACTCATTGCGATATTACAAATATACTATTTATTTATACATTTTATGCATAAATTGACGATAATGTCCATTTGTTTAAACTTTGGAAGATTCAGTAATATTTAAGGCCTATAACAATTAATGATGTTCATATATCTAAGCACAATATATTGTAATTCCACTTATCTTTCAATAAACTATTCATATTTACTTTTGAATTACTAAAAAAAAACAATATCATGTAAGATTACGGATGAAGGAAAAATAATCAAGTAATGAATTAATCATTAGAAATAACAATCGGGAAATGAAAGATTTTTGATGACTATCAAAATGTCAAGAATTTAAAAGTTTCGTAATATGTAAAGTAATTTTTTCTATGTTAGAAGTAATATGATCCCTTCTAGTTTGAAACGATAATCATGTAACGAAGTGATTCAAATTACTTCTAACCTAAATTATCCCATTTTAAGTAATATTAAAAATAATTTAAACAAAAAAAAACATATAAGAGATTTTTATATATGTACGTGTACATGTATTATATCTGATTGTATATGTTTACATAATCCACATTTACTCTTTTTTCTTTGTGTTTTCTTCCTTAAATATTCTGTTGATTTTTCATCGACAACATGTATTCTTTTTAATATTTGCATCATTCTTTAAATTTTGAAGAGTTTGAAGTTCATAAACTTCTTTTTCTTTAAGTTTCCTTAATAAATAAAGAAATAAATATAAACTATATTTTGAAATTTTCTATTTCAGCAGTTTAAAAATCCCCATAGAATATTCAAAAATGAAGAATATTTGAGCGAACAATTGTTTTCAATAACTTCATCATCAGGCTCTACAGTTATAAGTCCATAATTATAATATAATAATAGTGAACATCATATCAAAATAGAGGAAGCTTTCTCTGTTTCATTTCAAGTTCCAAAATATCTACCTCAAGGAGCTAGATTACGACTACTTTACATAGCCGAAGCCATCTGGATCAACTCCAGAATACCAAATTTATGTATCTAGAAAAAATATATCCAGCCTCTTTGTTTACCTTGGCTTACGACTGGATCACCGAATACCTAGACTGAATATTATAAACCTCATAGCCTCTTCCTTTATTTTTATCTATTTATTCTTTTTCCTTATTATCATTATTTTTGATTATCTCTATCTTAGTCTTCACATCCATCATTGCCAATTCGTTTATCGTAATTACCTTGATAACACCCTCCTTATTTCATATTATATTCACACAACAATCTTATTATTATTATCATCTCAATTTTCACAAATTGAAATCATGAGTCAGTTGAAGCTAGACCACCATTGAAAACCTGGAAGCACTGGACGGCCGTTTCGTCCTAGTATGGGACTCCTCAGCAGTGTGCATCCACGGTCCCGCACCCCGCGGGATTCGAACCCAGGACCTACTGGCTTCGCGCGCGAGCACTTAACCATTAGACTGAACACTTTACTCCAAATCATCCTGACCTTTATTGAATTACCTTTCTAAATTGCAAATAATATAACTTTGAAGTAATATATATATCGTAACAGATGTAAACGTGCACCATTTTTAACACATAACAATGTCTAATTCATTAATAAATGCCCTATTTCGGCCTTTGTAAAATATGATAATTATGGAAATATAACTGTAGAGCCTGATGATGAAATTATTGAAAACAATTGTTCGCTCAAATATTCTTCATTTTTAAATTTTCTATTCTTTATTTTAATCACTTATCTAATTGTAGATGAAGGATTTATTAGAATACTAATCTGAATACATGTATGTTCAATTGTTCAATTATCTTTTTAATTCAAGTAACGTATAAATGTAATTGGTTAAACAGTTTGTTTATTTCAAACAAAAAAAACTGACTGAACTTTAACATTTCTTGTACCTGGATGATTTATTATTTTATTCCTTTGATAATGTAATTGTATACTTTGGTGAATAGATGAAGAAATCAATATTTTTTTGTTTGTTTTTGGAATTCCTCATAGATTTGATAGAATATTAAGATGGTTCGAATTCTGATTTTATGAAGTAAAACTACTAGTCGGATGAAGGTATGTGATTACATAAGCATATCAAAGCCACTAATGAATGAATAGGGATTTATGTAACTTAATCCTCACAGTAATTAATAGCCCTGTTTTGACCCTAGTAAGTAGATAACGTTTTTTGAGACCACTTTAGTATCGCTCAAACGTTGTCTATAAGTCATAGTCTTTCCGAAGAATGTTTTAAGCCTCCATCTGAGTGCATAAAGGTTTGGATGAATTGAAACAGTTTTTTCTTTCTGCCTCATCATAACATCGGACTCGATAGGAAGAGATGTCTTATGAAATGAATTCTTTTACAATATACTGGGAATTATATGTTCACACATAATAAACGAGTAATAATAAATAGTTTTACCTTGCCATAACCATAAACGCCTCTTCTATATTGTGCCCAGTTTTTGCACTGACTTCAAAGCACATTGTTTTATATACCTGTAAATTTAATAATTAAAATTTATTTCTGATACAATTAAGGGGAAGCATACAAATCTGAGTTGAAGATGATCCTCAGTTAAGATACAAATTATTTTAGGACTCGAACTTGACCAGGATGAAATATCCATATTTAAAGAAAATACTGTAGCCAAGTATACCAGTTGACAAATGAAGAACAATTTGTTTTCGTGCAATGTTCGAGAAATCACTCCAAATATTGGAGTTAGTTTTATGGTATGAATATATCCATCTTTTTTCAGTGTTCAATAAACGTTCAGTTTCTAGCATTTTTGAGCTGTTTTCTGAGTTTATTAACCCTAACTTTTAGAATCTACTTTAAATCTAAGTTCGAAAGGAGTAATTTGTTAAGTAAAATTGTTCCTGGATTATACCGCACAGATGAATTATGTATATCAACCTTGGTGAAAAAGGTGAAGACATCTATATTATTTATTAAATTCTAAATAAGTAAAAATAATTATTCATGTACAGACTGTCTTAGAAAGCCGGAGGCTTTCATTTTCTTCAAAAATAAAAAAAATACTCAACGCGGGGGAGAGGTTGCAGCAAAATTTTGTAAACGTGAAGCATGACACGGTCAAATTTACAAAATCACAACATGGCATTATAGTTTGGTGTAAGGCCTTGTGGAGGTCGGTACAAAACCTAATACTAATGCGAAACTTGGATTGTCATTTTTAATATTGAATATATCGGTTGTATTATGTGTATTCATGCATATTTAACAGAGGGCTTGTTATTGTTGTATGGGCCTGTCCACTTATCATATTCGCTGACTTCTTTTACTATTCATAAGGCCGTTTGAAGGCTCGTGTGAGCGCATGACCAACCGCTTAAGCTTCTTCTATTCATTGGGCTTATTGTTTGTTTGCTCATGTGAATACACGAAATATGATTTTCTAGCAGCATTTCTCATGTGACTTCTAAATACCACCGTTGTAAAGAAGCCATTAGCCAAAGTATGAAAAATGAAATTATATATATTTCATCCTTATTAATTAGAGTCATGATTCAGGTTACAAAGTTGTTGAGCACTTGGTCTACAAAAGTAGCGAGCCCAAACTCAATGCAACCGGCCTATAATAAGTCATCCACAGTAAAGTGACCATAAGTATACTGTTAAAATTATCATGTCAGTAGTATTGTGACCACCAGCGTAAATCGTTAAAATCGCTGAAGCACTAGTTACAAATATTCTTTAGTTTTTCTGCCACTAAGACGTCTGAATGCTCACTAACAAATTCCCTGTGACCACAAATTATCTATTGTAATAAGCACAAAAATACACCCCACTAAAGAATCCAATCAATTACTTAGGTTAAAATACAAATCAGTAGCACTTACTGCTCTAAGTCACCATATATATACATATATATATGTGCTGAGTGCTTTTACCAGTGCAAATTCCATGAATCAATACACAGAGTTTTCGCGAAATTATTGTCCTTATAATATGAAGTACTAAATGTTTATGTGGTATATAAAGAATTCTTGGTAATCTGGCAAATATCTTAATTTTAATCACTGCTACACAAAGAACTTACGCGAACAATTTTATCAATTGTAGCTCGCGATACTGCACGTTTATTATCATTTTCTTCAATGAGATCAGACTTATTTTCAAGAATTAAGATAACGGTATTCTCGTCTGTTTCTTCGGTAACCGATTGAAGCCATGAACGGACGGCTAAAAAACTTGATTCATTAGTTGCATCGAACACAATAATTACACCATCTGATTTACGATAATATTGTCGTGTAATACTTCTGAATCTGCAAGTTTGTCAAAGATATGTTTTTACTTCAAAACGTTATACTACTTAGAAGTAGTTAGAAAAGTTCAAATAATTTCTAGGACACACAAATATGAGCTCTTAACAAAGCACCCTAAGCAGCCATCTTGTAGTTAATTTCCACCAATCACTCAATGATGAATTTACTTTTGAAGAAAATTACTTGACCATATTCGAAATACGAACATAGGCTGTGACTATAGGCTTTCAGAACCAGACAAGTTAATGTGGAAATGTCAACAGCTGTACTCAACAACGTTTAGTTTATAGTGGTTTCAAGATCCTCTTGGTATCATTCATAGAATCTTGTTGGATCCTCCAAAAAGGAATAAGATGATCTGTATTCTTTGAGCTGAGAATACATGTACAAAAACCATTTGTCTACTGTCTTTTGGCTTTTACTCATTGTTTATTATTACTTGTACTAAGTACACTTAAAAACTAATCATTTTGGATGATTCTTCTACTAGTTTACTTTCTGATTTTTTTGAGGCACATTATTTTTAAATATTTACTCATAAGGCTAACTGATGTCCATGCAAGTCTTGATCTAAAGTTTGTAAACAATTAGTATTTTAATAGTTTTCAATAATGGTAATAGATTTCTAAATTTGTTTGAACTTTTATTCCAGAGATGTTCTCATGTAACTCGATTATTCAGTTTTAATTCTCGAATGGATCCTATAATAATGATAATGTTCGTTAGTTTTGTCAAATTCATATTCATTTAAACCTACTGATAAGTCGAATACACTTCCCTATGATATTACGTGATCAGTGAACCTATAGAATAATGCAGAACAATTTTGAGATTTTGACGCAGTTTATCCGAACAGAAAATAGAGAAACTAAATAAATAATTATCTGTAGAATATGAAAGAATTATTAAAAGTATACTAATTTTACATGAATAAGATCGTTTTTGAAGGTGTCTATAGGCGCTCTAACGTAACAGCCCAACTTTCACACCCTTCATAGATTACAATGAAATATCAATGCATCTCGTACTTCTGAATATAAATTAAATATCTTTCCATATACACATTCACATTTTAGTGTTTTCTTTGACATTCCAACGTTCAGTGAACATTTTATTATGACATTTTCTATACTAAAATTCTTCATGAAGAGATCAATCGTAAACTCTCATTGCCTTTATTGCTAAATAAACGATGCATTTGACTGACGCTGATAATCATATTGTTGATTGTTTGTTCTTGATTGGTTTTGCGATATTCTTTAGTTTAGCCCAAATTAATTTTAAATTTAAGTAGAAAAAATCTAGTGATTTTTCCCACTAATAATGTACTTTAATGTAGGTTAGAAATTTTTATAAACACTTTACTTATATCACTTAAGAAAGTATTTTATATCTTTTGTGTATAACATATTATTCTTCCTTATTTCTGTCTAATCACAATTTAAAGGGATTCCATTTATTGTGAATAAGGTTTTGTAATAAACTTGAACATTCATTACTATGTGTAAATACAGTTATAAAATGGTCGAACTTTTGGAGTTCATGTTTACTTTAAAAAAAGAGTGAATTCTATGACTTAGTAAGGATATGAGGATTATGAAGAATTTCAAGGTCATGTAAACCTGTCTAGTAAACAAATGTTATCGGAGAAGGGAACTATAGTCGACTTTTGTTTTGGATCAATTCATTCAGCTTCTGTAGTAAAAGCATGATGGGGAGATTCTGGTTCCATTCCAATGATCGTCTATGAGATTTATTATTTTCTCCATCGTTTAATAAGTTTGAAGGCTGAAATAAGTCTCAGGATGCTTCAAAATAAGATGAATAATTACTGTACTACAAATAGCTTTAGTGATAGAAATCACTTTCAAACAAAATATATGGTATAAAAGTTTATTTTTTTTGTAATCTTCGAAACCATAAGAGCTAATCTAATATTAAATATTAAGATTCAGGAAAACTACAGTAAATTAAGAAAACCATGTTTACATAATTTATCTGAGCTTACATGTAAGTGTTTCATATAATTCATTTGTTTAAAAGGATTTATATGAGACTATCTACTCCTGTAGTAATTCTAAATATAATTTTTTCAAAATGCTAGAGTTGAAACATTATTAACAAATAAGGTTTAACACTAATTGGAAAATAAAATTTAGAATTAAAGCTTCGATCTATTACCTGCTTATTATCAAATTTATTTTATTTTATTCAAACACATTAACATTGGTAGAAGGAGGCACCAAATAGATATGTGCCACATAAATCGAATGATTTGTGTGTGGGTTGGGATACTGCCCGGGTGCTCGAACCGAAGCAGTTGGTTTTCTTGGGAGGCCACACTCGGAGCCTTTGACCCAAAGGTCTGGTCCACAAGGCAGTAGAGCAACGTCAGCAGATACAGTCCCATGGTAACCAGTGACCAACAATAGGTTCATAGGCCATTTGTTTCCTTTAGGATTCCGGAGCCCATGTGGACCGTTGATTTAGAATCAGGGTTTTCCAACCCCCTTAGGTGGACTCTCCATTTCCACCAATCCGGTTAAAGTGCTGGACATTCGCTTTTCGTCCTCTCAATTTCGTAAACAACACTCCCGCTGTGAGAAGGCGATGAGTAGGACTTCCATAGCAGTGGTTGAATGCACGTGGCCATATGACAGCATTTCGAGAGGGAGAGCTGACTCTCCCCATTCTCTGCCGTATCAAGGCATTTGGAGGCCCTACTAGTTAAGTATGAATGATCCTAATGAAAATAAAATCTATCAGTCATCATTTTAAACGCCAATAAATACATAAATAAATAAACACCCTATAACAAATTTAATGCATGAACTTTCGTTTACAACAGTAAGACAGAGTTAAGTGAAAACGTAATTATTTCTGAAAAGCGACAGTTGTAAATATAGGTCACTATTTAGTGGTTGAGTAATGCGGTGTTTTGTGCTAAATGTGACTGTACTGTATTCTATCCCGTATAGCGTTTTGAATGTAAACTGATGAAGAGTTCTTAGTCAATATGAGATATTTTACCACTAATTTTGAATAATTTTCAAAATAGTTCATTAGCTGAGATCACTTTATGATTAAAATTACTTCATTGATTATAGAAAATCTCCAAAAAAGAAAAGAATAACTGTGTATAATTTCACTTTTCTAGAGAATTTAATTGTCTTAGTAAATGAAACCGTATCACTCCTGAGGTTGGAACTGATAATTTCAAATAAATTTAGCGTCGATTGAATCGATTGTATGAAAAGGGTAATTTATTTGTAGTGTCACAGCTGGTAGAATGTTGAACTTTTGATGTTACACAGTTTAATGTAAGTCACAGAATAAAGGACTTACGTTATTCACCAAAAATGTTTAAATTTCACTTTTCAACTCGTTCTCATATTACATGTATATGATTATTTTCGTCATAATGTAATTTTATAATTCACATGTATATTAACAAATTTAGTGAACTATCATAACAACTCTATATGTACATAGAAAATAAATACGACAGATGGTTGAATGTTAATCCTGAACTGTAAATAACCTTTATTTATGGATCTATATGAAACTGTGCAAACTAAGTAATTGATTTGTGCGAAAAATCTCTTAACAATACTTATCATAGAATCGATTGTATTTACGCTGATGAACGTATTGGTTGTGATCATCATCGAAATTTCAGATAACCTTTTCTTCTAAACTTGAATTGACACATCTGTTTTCTAAAGATAATCAGTTTTCCTACTGGTACTCGACAACAGAAAATAGTCCACTAGATTAACGAGTTACAACAACTAGTTTTTTCATTGAGCATTACGGAATAGGTACCAATAAATGTTTGCCTTATTTCCAACTGACCTAATTCAATTCATGTTAATTTTTTACTACCATTAATCTATGTTCAGTTAATTAGATCCTAAAATTTTTGTTTTATTAAGATTAGATGGTGGTTGGAGGTAGTCAACAGGAAACCCTGGACCCGGGTTTCGTGCTACTTGGCACTCGTCAGCAAGGTTTACCTGTAATCTTGAGGGAACTGGTGCTCCCTGGCGGACTCGATCCAGTGTCACCCAGCTTCACAGTCAGAGACGTTACCATTGAGCTTTTCGGGCCATGACCGACCTCCTGTAGGACTGGGATGTAATCACAATTGATTGATCACTGGGTGGTGATCAATGTCATGCTTGTCTAGTCCTTATTAGTGCAGATCGAATGCTATCGATCATGTTGCAATGTGGCCACCAGTCTAGGTTTTATTATAATTTGATTACGAGTTTTGATGATTTGGAATATTCACTTTCACATTGTACTTCTCTCAAATAATTTTCATGGTTCTATCAATTCTATTGGCATATTCGCTTCATCACGCTGTAGATATTTATTCGTAGTTAACTCCATTCTCATAAACATATCAACTTCTACAGTAATTTTGATTTTAAAATATTATAGACTGTCAGTAGCTAATAAGTTTTTAACATAATAAAATGAATGAATGAATGTTATTCTACTCAATTCTTTACATTTTCTTGCTTCAAAATAAAGGAAACTATGTGTATGAAACAAAACAATCATTACTATTACACATAGTTTTAATATACTAATTGAAGTTATATACATTTCATTATCCGTATATCAAGTGTTTAACATAAGCAAAAATAAGTGACCTTGTGTATTTGTCTATTTTAAGTAGTATATGAGTCACTGGTTGATTGGTCCATAATATTCAAGTGTAAAAATGATTGGTTGTATTCATTCTAGTGATTCATATATTTACATTTATTAACTATTAAATAAAAGTAAAGAATGAAATAAAGCTTAGACAAAAGAAAAGAGAAAGGAGATAAACTGATATGAGCTAGCAAATGGAAAAGAGAAACATAGTTAAATACACTTATAGATGTCCATATTTTTTATGCATTTATATGAACTTACTTCTCTTGTCCAGCTGTATCCCATAATTGTAGATACAAATTAGTCCCATCGCAATGCATAAATTTCACATGAAAATCAATTGCCACAGTTAATGGAAGATTTAAATCAAATACACCAGATACAAATTTTCTTATAATACTTGATTTTCCAACACCTGAATCACCAACAAATATAACTTTGTAGACACGTTCAGCAAATGATCCATTCTTTTTAAATATATAGGTAAAGAATATGAATAAAATGAAAAGTGGATAACAATATATCAATAACTGAAGAGAATTATTAATACACACTTAATATTAGTCAGAAAACTATTAAAATAAAAAAAGAAACTAATTTTTTTTTAAATTTTAATCATTTATGTTGTTGTATCCAAATAACATGTCTTCAATCCAACCCAGGTATCTCTACTTATCGGAAAGCTGTGGTTTGTTTTAATAGAGGTAGCAACGAAAGAGGAGGGATACGTTTGGTAATGTTATCAGGAGGAATTTTTCAAGTATGTTAATCTTTCTAATGTTTATCATCAGTTGATATCTGTATCAATGACCCTATATAAAACCAAATCCAGTATCCTCAGGTTTCCCGATGAAGATGATATCAGTGAATCGGTTATCTAATAATACGGTAGGACTGTGTAACCACCATAATTTTTTATTTCCAATAAAATGTACATATTTTTCTAATAAGATCAAGTTTGTCTGCAACCTTGTAGAACCCTGAAACTCCAACAAGTAGACGTATATTTCTTTTTGAACGAACAAAGATTTAGAAAACAAAACGAGTAACAAATCTTCATTTATAATGAATATTACCTCTAACAGGGTTTAATACCGAGCTATATATGTAAGCCTAATGATTACCATCTATACTTTGCTCTTTAAAGATTATTCATTAGTTTGTATGTCAAGTAACAGAAAGGCTACTCACAGTGGTCGAGTCAGCATTTGAACTCATGTAGGAGGCTCCATCAGGTGAAACTCTTCTTCCACTACATGTATAAATGAATTAAAAACAACAGTTACTAATAAAATATTTTCAGTTTGATAGTTATGATAGTTATTTATAATATACAACAATGCTTTCATTACAAATTGAAATCAGTTGACACAGTTATCAAAAATCGAAAAGTACTAAACAGCAGATTAGTTCTCGTTAAGAATTATTCAGCAATACGAAACCGATATTTTCCATATTGTCGAATCTGATAGATAATATCCAGTTATTGAATAAGGGTTCAGTATATTTTAGGTTAAACTTTAGTCAATTCAGTATATAGTATCAATATCATTCTATATCATTACTAGTCATTCAGTTCATACAACTCTATTGATTCATCAGATTATACCTTCTCATTTTGAATTTGGTGTCAAATAGAATGATAAATGATTATTAGATTATGATTTACTGTGACATTTCTAGTGATTAGTTAAATATCTGGTTAAAGAAATAGATATACATTGTATTTATTGAAGCATTTATAGGAGTTTGACTTATTCAATACGTTTATACGCATAATATTAAATTTTAAACAAACTTTTAAATTGTAAAGAATAGTTGTTCATTAAGTGAATTAGATATTATAAATGTAACTTATAAAAATGGACTTTCTAAGTAAGTTATTTTTCAAGACAGTTTTGATAAAACTTTTTTTTGAAATTTGTCAACATATTTAAAGTAATAATCGTTCTGATTGTGCTTTCGGTCAAGAAAGGTTACTCTATTGGTATATTTGGGTGCTTAGTACCCTTTCACTGTGCTTTTTTACTGAATACTTTGTTAACTGGGACTTGTAGATGCCACTGAACATATTTGGATTCATATTTATTACCAACGTATTATAACCGAAGCATATCCTAAAATAGTGTTGGCAAGTACCTTTCAGTTAGCTAAATGTCGTTGAATAATTACTAACTTATGATAGTAAATAAAAACATAATATCATTTTCTTCTGCGGAACTCTAATAAAAGTAATAATAATAATAATTGCGATAGTGATAATCGATCAACTCACTTTGGCATATAACGTACTTCAGCTGAATCATTAATATGTGCTCGAGATTTCTGTGAAGTTTTTCGAATACGAGGGGTATATATACTGCCAGGATCTGTAATAAGTTACTTATAAGAGATTTTTTAAAAATAAAGTATGATCTACATTGGTTGAAAACTTCTTCGTATTCTTCAGCTTCATCAATATTTCCAAGATCTCCTTCACGTATACTGTCATCATTTAGTCTAAAGTGATGCCAAATTAAAATGTATAATCTATATTAAAAAATCTATACAGTCAGTTACTTGTTCCTCTTCTCTCTAAGCACTTAGATAGTTTTAATTTGGAATTTGACGATTCACGCTAACTTGCTCCTTTATGTTGTTTGGAAAACCATCTTTCTGTGTTCGAAATCGATTTTGAAATGTCCATCAAATATATTTTCAATGAATTAAACATCTTAGTGTATTAATCAAATATAAACATTAGAGTTATCTTGAAACAATTCAATTTAGTTATAAAAGTAATGAAGTTTCTAGTTTAGATGCTAAACAAATAAGGATTGTTTTATGATAATAGGGTTTCGCAATATTTTTAAAAATTAAAAGTTCTGTCAGTATGGGGAGTTATGGAGATGGTAGTATTTTCAAAGTTGAATTCACGAGTCGATCTAAGCTAGACAACCATTGAAAGCCTGTAAGCATTGAACAACCGTTTCGTTCTAATAAGGAACCCCTCAGCAGTGCGTTCGAGTTTCAAGTGCGGGATTGTGGGTGCTGATTGCTGGGGAGTCCCATAGTAGAACGAAACGGCTGTCCAGTGCCTTCAGGTTTTCGATGGTTGTCTAGCTTAGATCGACTCGTGAATTCAGCTGTAAAAACTATGTATTAACTACCGTATTTATTGAGTAATACTGATAATTTGGATTTGGAATGTTATTTAATGTACTCGTTTGATAAACAGATAGTTACCTAAATGATACTTCATAATAAATAGTTACAGAGATACATTTATTTGATTTAATTAAGGACATTCTCAACTGAATTTATTAATAACAAAATTTCAGTTAAGTACCATCCATGATTCATAAGGATTTATTGAACTGAACTTATCTAACTCACCACTAATTTGGGCAGTAATATGATTGAAATAAAAATTTAATTCAAAAGTTTATACAATCATCAGTGAACGTTGGACTTACATTACTGGTGTGAAATAATTACTCAGTGTAGAACCTCTTCTTGCATCTGCGATCTCAAAATTTGTCGCATCCAAATCAGTTGAACTACATAGTAAATGTGGTAAAGCGGCAGTATCTTTTATTGTTGTCTCTGAAGCTTTTGCACTGGTCATATCAAGTGATTGTGATTTACTGTGAAAATCACGTAAATCAATTGTTTGTGATGTTTCTTTTACTGCGTAAAGCGTTTGGGATTTAAACTCTTGTTCATCAACTAACTTCTGATTAATAGTCCTATATAAAGATCAAAATATTTAGAAGTTAACTAATTTTTCTAAGCACTCTATCTAGGATGAAGTGATATTGTTTGAAGAAAAGTAAAGAACAGTTCATTCTCTCACGGTAATTTACTTATTTCAAGTTGTTACAAGAATAAAAGCCATTAATTACATACTTCAGAACTGGATTATTTTCCACAGAAGAAGAAGATTTATAACTCTATTTCAGATAAGGATGGAATAAATTTACAGACAAGAACCAGACTTAAGCGAATTTAGGAAAATACGTCTGTGTTAAACGTGCGGGCTTCTTTATTCTATTAAAAAACGGATAGATATGGATTATAAGGGAGTTTCAAACCTATCCAATAAAATAATAATGGGAAATTGATTTCAATGTTTGAAAAGAGTCAGTATGAAACCCTGACTTTAGTTTTCATTCTAGTTAGCATTCTTTAGTAAGGCATATCTGACATTTTTTGTAAAATGATGCTCCCAGTGGAGTTATAAATTGATGTCGCTAAGTGTTACAATCACAGGTGTTATCACTAAACCATACGAATCTCAACTAACCTATTTCTAAATGTGTTGACGATTGTCTAGCCATTAGTTCATAACTTGATCGATAGGATCAATCGATAGAGAATAGAAAACAAGACACTTGGTACTATTAAGTGATCAACTAATGTTAGGATATTTTGTCACAACCTAGATCTTTCTTTTCTACTCGTTTTGTTTTGATTTTCTTTAGGTTAAAAGGTAAAATATTAAATATTTCTGTTCTTCATAAATTTGAATTCAGTTTGATTTCAGATAAAAGTAATGAAACTATGGTAATAAAAAAAACACATTTGTTTAAATTTTGTGAAACATCCAGTATAACGTGTAATATTTAGTAATGATTTAACAGATACCCTAAAACGATGGAATAACAGTTTTTTTGATTAAACATACTTCATAATGTTCATGTGTATTAACTAATTTTCATCAGCTGTTATTATATAATAATTAGGTTATGATAATGATTGTAATTTTTTTTTAAATGCTTGTTAAAGAGTAAATTAGTGAATAGAGTAGAATATATTTCTGAATTGTTGCCAAATGAATTTTATACCAAAATGTAAATAAGCAACTGTAACTACTGTTGACATTATAAGTAGATATCCATTAGGATGAAATTTGAATAATGTCATCAAATTATTCGTTGTTTTTAAGAAAGTAAATGACTGATGGCATGGTCACTGTGATAATTTGAACAGATTAACTTGGATTTGTATAATATCGTGAGTGTTTACTTCTGTATATTTTTATCATCAAATTTCAAATTAGGAAGAAAATTGACTATAAGAGATCAATTAGACAAATGATATTCACTTTATGAATCTTACATCTTTTTGTAACAACAGACAAGGAACTAATCTTCACAATCGATTCATCTGAGTAATGAACTCGTCTATATTGATAACTAACATAGAAGTATTTCTTGTGAAATATCATACTGGCTCAATTTTTGTGGAGTGAGACAGTCATAATTGATTATATTGGTGCTATATTACAAGTTAACTAAAGTTTGGAATATGGAACGTAGGATTTCAAATCATACACTTAAAGGCAAACGCCTTGATGTAAAACTTAGAGACAATGGGTCCGATCTCCAAAGGGGTCATGGGTGCGCGCTACTAAATTCTATACAGATATATAATAGCTGTACAATTTGCTCTGGTTTTCGGTGATTTTTGAGTTGAAGGCTATTAGTCATGATGGTACCTATCAGACTAAACTATTATCCACCTCTTATTTTGTTACAGAAATCACACTTTATTTACTTATCTTTTAAAATGCTATGGTATTGTAATGGCTTCGCTACGTTAACCGATCACCTCGATAACCGTTATAATATAAATCTCAACGGTGATTAAAATCAGAAGGCGATGAGAAGCGGTGACTACAGTTTATTAGCGGATAGCGCGGATCACAAAGTTATAAGCACATCAAGTGAATTTGAAGCGGAACGGCGAATAAGTATATGCGAGCAATTACATAGGCAAATTTATAGTCAAATCGCATAATGGCTCGGCAAGGCAAAGCAAGGACTAATGATAGGATTCGAGTACATACATACATCGGGAGGAGGATAAATCATCGAGTGATATTTAAGCAACCAACATTTTAGCTAGTGTCTGTCATGTGCTCTTGTGAACATAATGGTGCAAAGAAATATGCGAATCGTTACTGTTCAAATATCATTGTCTGTTAGGTAAATTAATGAAAGGGCTTAACCAAAATTAACCATAATCGAAATTGGTTGTAGGATAGTTGCTATAGTATCATAACTTGAATATTATGTCTGAAAGGAGTATGACGACATACTATAACTGGAATCAACATCCAAACTTATGATGATAAGTTAATGAAATCCCGAAAGTTGAAATCATGAGTTAATTGAAGTGAGACCACCATGGAAAACCTGGAAGCACTGTACGGCCGTTTCGTTCTAGTATGAAACTCCTCAGTAGTGCGCATCCACGATCCCGCCCTCCACGAGGTTCGAACCCAAAACCTACCAGTTTCGCGCGTGAGCGCTTAACCATTAGACCACTGAGCCGGCATCCGACAATGTTAATGGCTAACTTCAACCAATGAGTTATATTTATCTCCTATGTATTTATCTACTCTCGTGTATTCAACAACCTAACAAGCAATATCAATCATAAGCTATTTCACAGTTATTTAATCATATTAACCGTATCTTTAACATATTTAAACTACGTTCATTTATTTATTATGGAATGTAATTTATTGTAATTTCAATTCATTCACAGTTGATAACATGGTGTTAAGCAAAAAAAATTACACACACTCACACACACACCCACTACAATTAGCTTCAGATCACTATTAATAACTGATTAATCAGATTTAGAAAAAAAAGGTTGACTATGAATGGAAAAAATACTTTATGTTATTGCATAGAGTTTACTAAAATACTAATGATAGAAAGTTATCGAAATATTTCACACTGATTAAAATTAGTTGATACTAGGTAATTGATTATATTGATTATTGATTTGATGAAATGTTACTAAATTAGTTACAAAGAATCATGATAAATATTTATCTAATTATGTAATTTATATTATATTATATAATAAATAGTTGGTCATTTAGGAAATGTAATAAATGATGAATGTTTGACCTTTCTTATAACCTTCAGATTTAAAGTATGTTTTTATAAGTTAATTAAATTGAATCATCTTAGTTTTATTTTGGTTAATCTATCAGTCTAATATATAACTAGTATAATAGTTATATAAGAAATATATGAACGTATTAACTATATATATATGTATATTTGATAGTGAAAAGGTTTGGATTTTTAGATTATCTGGGCTACCTGTTCCTGCCATCTAGATATTTCAACAAGTTATCTATTTTTTCCTTGTTTTAATATATCATTATGTTTATTAATCGCATAACCTATTCTGCTGCGTTTCTGAAAAGTGTACAACCTTTCGTTGTGAAAGTTACAAAAAACTCAATAAGAGACAATGTGGTTGCTGGGAATATACAACGGAAAGAATGCACATTATTCAGATGTTCATTTAGTGAACTGCTAACATCTAACTGGCGATCACTCAATATTTATCGCCAGGACCGACCAAGAAGAAAGAAACGGAAACTTGTTGAAATACTTTACGCTGAGAATTCTATATTGTACCGAAAATATAATATTGAATAAAGTTGATAATAATAATAATTTTAATAATAATAATAATTCATTATTATTGATATTATCTTTAAAATGTTCATGGAATGGAAATGAATCAAAAGGTGAATTAGTTAGTATGTTTTGTGTATAAAAGAATTTAGTACCATTTCTAAAGAGTAGTGTTGAGATTAATGAGAATAAAGTACATCTTTACAATTTTTTCCTCATTTCATACAAATTAATGGGTGGCATAATACATTATAGAGAAAATAATGAATATAAACTAAACGATTTATTGAATACTGATATTATTGTAGTGTGAGCTACTTATATCCACATAAGTAGTATATAACGATATTCAGGAATAGAATGTATTTTAGTAGAAGATTGAGAAAGAAAGAACGGTAACGGAAAGCAATTGGTATGGAAATACAGAAACCATGAAATCTGAGACGATGGGTTGATATTTTGTAAATTAAGCATTTATTGTATTGTTCTCAGATATTAGTGCGATGTTCTGTAATTTCGTGGTCAAATACATTTGGTTGTCCCCACTCGTGTTCATGTTCACTACACTATAACTAAATGCATTTACAATTATGATCCACATCCCACTCTACGACTATACAATCATACGTGAAAGTATTGTTAATCATAAAAACTTAATTGATGCTGGTACTGAATCGGACATACCGTAACATATCGAGTTGTCTTACTAATGTTTCACGTTCTAATGCTATGCCTTCACTAAGTTCTATGGCTGCTTTTGCTCTACGTCGACGTTCTTCACGTGCTTTCTTCTGTAGTGTATCAATATAATCTTTACATTCATTTAACATTTCTTGTGATTCTTCTAATTTACGTTCTAGATCTTCTTTTTCTTGTAATAGTTTCTCTTTTTCTTGCGCAATGCTCATTCGATTCTTTTGAAGTTCTTCTACTTTGATAGAAGCCTGTAAAGATATCATTTAGCAAAGATAAGAATTACACAAATATACATATTTTTTCTCTAAATCTGATCATTACAAGCAATAATTTAGGTTTATATAAATATAAAGATAGCTTTTATCACTAAATAAAATCGACTGAATAATATTATTGATTTTGCTCCAAGCCCAGCCATAGGTCGAGCTCAGAGCTGTCAGACCCAGAGAAATATATCAAATCTTCAGATTACTTTGTGGAGAATAAATTGAGAATGTTATCTTTGAATTATAATTTAACTCCAGATCGAAATGAACTCAGTGGTCATGGAATCTAACTAAAAGGCAAGAAGTCATCTTAAAACTAGCTTTACTGTCTAGATAGTTAGTACATAAAATTCTGGGTCCTATACAGTTTGTTTTCTTAGTATATATTATCTAATAATTTTCGAGTGAAAGTTGACGTTCTGTATTTATACAACTCATGTTGACTCGTAATGAAATATATTTTCACAAATATGCACATTAGTAGGACTACATATCATAATATATGAAAACTAGTTTACATTCGATTAAATTAATCTTTACCCTAAAGAAGTTTCGTAGTTTAGGAAATGGAGCAACATGTTTATTTTCATTAGCATCTTATTGATCATCAAAGTTATGACTGGTAGCCCGGTGTATTTTTTTATGATCTGCCAGCTCTTACAAATAAATAAAAGAAAAATCTAGTACAATAAACGAAGTCAACTGTAAAATGTTCTTTTTTTAAATATTGTTTCCTGGCAATTTGAATTAATGAAATTCAATATTCCTACAATATCTGAGTTGTGTTAGAAGAAGAGTAGTTTTCTAGCTGCTTATATTACAATAGATATGGCAAGTTTTGGACTTAAATTTTTACAACTGAATGTATATATATATATATATATATATATATATATATTGCATATGGGAAACCTTTATATTTTAGGACCTTGACTGTTTTCAGTTTATAATGATGGAATTTTATGATTCAATCAGTTGAAATTCGGATATTCAGAATAAGCTTACGCTTCGGTCGACTTCATTTCATGCTCCCTAATAAAGGGAATGTGAGAAAGGACATCTTGCCAATTTTCACGCTATATATAAAACATGAATATTGGTGTCTATGATTTGATTTTTTCGAGAAATCCGCTAAATTGTCTCTTTCGTTTGTTTTGAATCATTCAGGTTATTTGTAGAATCGATTTTTCTCTGAATAGTGAGCATTATCGTATTGATCTAGTCCTGTTTTCTTGCTACCTATCGAGCTATAATGTGGAAAGTACTCTAAGTGACCCGATATTGCGTGAACTATCTTGAGGTAATAGGTAGCTGAAGGTAATTAAATTAAAACTAAGGAACTATGTATAGTGAGGTTTAGCACTCATCAGCAAGTTGTATCCGTACATGTGACGCTTAATCAAATCTGCCATGGAGCACTAGTTACCTCAAGATTACAGGTATGATCTCCTGAAACCGAGGTCGAGAGTTTCGCATCGATTACATCCAATCACATAATATAGTTTGTTTGTGAGTATTTTTCTTGAAGAAACTTGTGGTCCCATCCAAATTTATATCCTCAATTGTAAGTTGTATAATCAACACTTCGATACCAAAATGTAAATTGGGTACTGTTCACCATTATAAATGATTCAGTAGTTCTTTTTTAACAGTATTTTTTAAAGACCATTTGGATGCCTAACAAAATTTCGATTACAATTATCATTTAATTGTAATCATATGAGTTAGTTACTTCAATAATATTGCAGTTATAAAGCTTAACAAAGCATTCGATATCTCCATTTTTAGAACATTTTAGACTGATTTTAAAAGTTTAGATGGATCATGAATGACGTTTCAATCAAGAATTTATTATCGTGACACAAAAATTTGAGTAACGTGATCATTTTCTATTTTTAAATTCTTTCTTTTTCAAGTGATCGTTGAAAAATGTCGTTAAGAAATCCTTTCATTTTGTATCTTTTGCGGTTGTTTTATTGATCATCTAAACCAAAATACGTACTTTTCAAAAAGAATCAAAGATTTAAATTTATTTTATTTGGGATTGAATTCATGCACCCGAGCATCAAAGTATTCAAATCTCCAGTGACCTCTTGTAAAACTTGAGGATGCGTTAAAATTTCTCACTACATTGTAACTAATATTTGTGGTGAACTGCACACAGTTGCGTATAATTTATTCATAAAACATGCAACATGATCAGTAATATAATTGAAAGAGCTCGATGAATATTAAAAAGTAGTTTTTCGTCACGAAAGGGGAAGTTATTATGTTTGCATAAAAGAGGTTATATCAATTTATAATGATTAGTGAAATACTTTCTACTAAATATGGGTAACTGAAAACAAACTCATAAGTTTGCATTAGCATTATGAAATGTATGTAATAGGCTCACTGCATGTAACCTATTTTGTTAGTTTATTGCTGAACTTAACACATAAATGAAGTAGTTTCGTTCAGTGAATTCAAAAACAAACTGATTTCATCATTCTAAATGTCTTATAATCATTCTGAATCAAAAAATTAAAGTTCTATGAACAATATTATTCTCTGCTTGAAGACTTTATAAATCAGATGGCAGAGCTTCAGTTGGTAAATTACCAGTCATTTACGTCTACACTATATCAGCTTTATAAATTTGGTAGTCGAAAGATACATTCTTATCAAACTAATATGTTAATACTTTGTAGGCTCACATAAAGTTACCTTTTACATGGAACACTAATGAGTGCTCAACCGGTAAGTTTTCTCTTTCGAGTTTGCATGTGTAAGGGAGAAAGTAAGGAATTGTTACAGAACAACTTGTGATTAATCTTGTACAATATAAGTAATGTTCGAAAACTTATGTTGTATGGGAATTTTAGGCAAAAATATAGATATTATTTCTTTTAAATATTCAATATACAAAGGTTTTACAATTCTTCGTGTGATTTAGGATTAACTAAAACTAGTTGTAAGGCATTCAAATCGAAATTAATCCCCTTAACAGGTGAATGTACTACAAACTATTGATCATAAGAAAGCACATTTTAAATACATTACTTTTTCAAATTGTTGTACAAGGTCATTTAACAATTTTTCTTTTTCCTGTACTTTGTTATTTAATTCTTCTTTCAGTTCTCTTTCCTTGAGTTCTTCCTTTATAAAAACAGGGAGAAAAATTAAAGATCATTTCATGAAAGTATTAAAAACACTTGGAATATAGAATTTACTACAAATATTTAAATACGACTATGTATGTTATCGGTATGTTTGTATATTAATCGAAAATTAAAGGTTCATGTAATATGTAGCATCAAATACACGATGTAATGTTTCTTCACATTACATACAGTAAAACAGTACAATATATAGTTTGATTATATAATTTTAAAGATTATAATCGTTAGGTCAGTATACATTCTGATCAACGTGTAACTGAATCCTACTGATAAATGTGAATAAATGCAAAATCAACAGATTACTACTGATAAATGTTGTGATGGCAAAATCACTAAAATGAATATGAGTAAAACCAGCAGAAATAATGAAGAATGATTGAAAATATAACATTGAATTAAAGTATAGTTAAACTGTATACTTTCAGATATCTATAAAAATGTAAAAAACATTCATTCAAAAAATTAGTCGGATAATTTGAATGTGCAGTTACTTTACATTGGTGACAAGTAGTCATATGAAATCTAGATTTTCCTGTCAATTATCTTCATAAAGCATAACACTGAACTGATATATTACACAGTGTATCAAATATATTAGAAACTAATTAGCTTAGCGAATATAACACCGTCCAAATTCTCATCCTAAACTACAAATGTTCATCCTATGAAACTTAGAAAGCTATCCTCTTGATGTCCAATATATATGTATTCTCAGTGTGTATTTGTTAAATAATTAGTCTATGAATTTTCATAATATCCAATTGAGGGCATTCACTAACTCACTAAATGTTATTTTTTTCTTTTATTGTCCAAAAATTACAATAAACTAATCATCAATTTGGTAATGACAAATATATTTGTCATGTGCATATAGGTGTATTTTAATCTTATATTTTTATGTATATAATAATGTGAGCCTCTAATTTTAAATTATACGAAATAACGCGAGATATTTGATTATGCTTTGTTGGTGCTTTAATTGGTACGATGGACTATTCATTATTATTGAATTATATACAAGGAGAAACAAACATACATCAAAGTCAACTGTTTACCTTTTGTTTTAATTGTTCTTTTTCTTGATTAACTTGTAGCTCGAGTTCTTCGACTAAATTGTGCAATTCTTCATCTTGTTTCATTATTTTACTATTAAAGAGAGAAACAGACAAAACAAGAAGAAACCAATCGAATACAGAAATAATAGATAAAATTGGTTATGGAGATTGCTGAATGTTGTCATTATACATTACAGATTGACTTTAATTAATTAAGTATTGAAAACCAAAAAGTTATGGACAGCTATTTTATAGTAGTATCGAACATTTCTGTAACGTGCATTCACGGTCACATCAAGTCCTGAGTTCCTGATCTCTGGTGATTTTCAATGCCTGTTTAATTTGGGTCACTCTTTAATATGAAATCATAAATGATTGAAAACTTTATATGAAAGTGTATAAAGTTTCATTATGATCAATTTAAGGATTGACAATTTTTTTTAAAGGTTTTGATGGATCACTTTATTGTTTGATGTTTAATTATTGTTAAATTATTGTTTGACTTGATATTGAAATGATAATAATTTCATTTAATGTCTTTACCATAATACACGTTCATGATGAAGTGTATAATTGTAAGGTTTGAAATGGACGCACAATGAGGAAAGTATTGCTCGTTTCAATCACAGTTGAATTTGGAAAGTTATCTTGCACAGTAAATAATCTTAGTGTCTTACATATGAATTCCGGGTTAATTTTTAAACCAGTTATTTTTTGCTAGTTAACTCCCAATTTTTGTCTTTTTTTCAACTAAGATCCAACTATACAAGCTTATAATGAAATATGAATAAATAAACCAGTTATAATTAACTCAAACTAATAAACTTTATGTCATCCTATTTAATGAATAAATGTAGAAAAATCTTGAATCAGGACAGATTTGGAACTAGTGACTTCAAGGTTATTCTGTGATTGTGTTTCACATTTCATTATTGATAAGTCAACTTAAAAAGAAAAACAAACTGTTAGTGACATTATTATGTTTCGTAAGAATTCAAGAGAATTCATACGGTATTCTTAACATTAAAATGTAAATTCGTTTATAACTATTAATTCATTTTAAATTGTTTGTTTGAATCTTCTCATTGATGTTTAGGATTGCAATTCAAGTCCCAGAGTGAACATCAACTGTAGGATTCAGGTACATCCAGCCGACAAGTCCCAAATAGTACGAAACGCTGGTCCTGGTTTAGTGGCCTTAAATCTAACTCCAGTTATATCATGTTTTTCATTGTTATTAAGGTACGCTTGTCTAAATATCACTTTTGTTGCCCGAGATCTGACTTCAGTTGGATCGTATGAATGTTATTGAAATATACATGTCGTCAATCTTCCTATATAATTATCGACCTAACTCGCATTGGTGAATAACGGAATTAAATAAGTCAAATATAAGAATGGATGTTTGAATATGTATATCTTGTACACTCGTTGATCGGAACAGATAATCAGAGAATCGCGGCGGATGAAGTGAAGAAGAGTGAGCTAAACGAAATGATGCGCAGTGGAAAAGGCATGTGAACCAACTCATATTACACTTTAGTGGCTCTACGTCTGACTCCATATCAGAAGGCTGTGTGTTCATATCACGTCGCGCTCACCACAAAACTTGATTCCACTGATAGCCCCCATCCATCTTTATTTATGACTATTGTTTACACTGTACTTTATTGTTCATTCTATCTAATAAACTAATATTTTGCAATTATTATTATTACTGTTTAGTACAGTAAATAGATTGTAAGAAAAAGAATGTGATGAATATAACTACTTCCAAAGTTAATTATTTTAAACATTTCAGTTAGTAATTAAAAATCTACTGAACTAGTAATCAATTCGATGATACTAGAAAATTAATTAGTTCAATAAAGTAATTGAAATTGAAAAGAAAGGTACTTAAAATCATTCTTTTAACTGTATTCTTTAATTTCAAGTCGATGTGATGCTTTACAGGTAAATCTTTGTAGAATAATGGATAGAATTTCTTTGTTTAGTCTTATAGATGTTCATATGATAGTTCATTATCTGGTTGAATCCTTATCCACCATCTATAAACTTTATTTAAATTAAAGGGTTTTGTTTTGGTATTTTTTATTTTCGATTTTTGAGGAGATCTATCTGAGCTTTACAATTTTGGGTAGTGTAGCTGAAGTTGAATAGTTATCTTGCTTGATGGAACACATTCTATATGACAGGATTCAAAGAATAAAGATTTTTAATGAACGTTTATTTATTTCCAGTTAATTTTAATTGACAAAATTTCAGGTTGTTAGTGTAATGAGTACGAGTAATTCATTTACAAAATAATATTTTTCTTTAAAATTTGAATCAAAACAGCTAATGAGTTGTGTAAAGTATCAAGATGTGAAATCTTTCTCATAAGGTTAATAAACAACATAATTGTTAAATGGAATAGAATTGATTACTTCGACCATAATTGGTCACTGATTAGTTACTGATATCGTGATTGTCTAGTCTTCTGTGAGGAGAAAATTGTACCAACTAATGAGTTCCCACTAGTTTAAAAACTTTGGTCAATAATTAATACCGATTGGTTCCAACCGCTCAACATTTATGTTAACGTCTAAATTTCTATCACTAAAGTTACAAAACAATGATAACATTATTACTATACTATGATGTCTACGAAAACAAGTATTCTCAGTAAAGTGTAATGTTTTTGAATATGAGAGTAGTCTGCCGTCAGTTAGGATTAGTTTCAGCGGTTAAATACTCTATATCAATAACTGTATGATAAAATATTTGAATGGTTGTCAAATTTGGTAATTGCTTATGAAAATTAATGTACCTATCCACAGAATTCAGATACAAGGTTATAAATAGGGCAGAACTACTATTGCTCGAAAATTCAATTCATTTTAGTAAATTGATACACAAAAATAGTAATCATGATTAAGTTATCTAGAGTATATACATATATATACATATGTATATATATAGGACAAGCTTTTTTGTCGATCACGTTTCTATTAAAGAAATTGTAATCAGTCCCAATTCATACTGGTTGCTTAAAATGTTTGACATGTCATAGGTTTTGTCCATAGATAATGCTTATTTAACAAACATTATTTGAGTAATTTGACCTAAAAGATTTGCTCAAATAAACCTAAACATTTCATAGTGAAATTTCATTCACATAGTTCCCTTTATTATTTTAAAGAGAGCAAGAACAAAGATTGGTGCAGGATAATATGAATTAATTTTATTTCGTTAGGTTGTAAGCAGCTGATGAGAACCTAACGAAATAAAATGAATTCATAGTATTCTGCACCAATTTTTGTTATTGCTCTCTTTAAAATTTCATAGTGAACTAGGCCCGCTTTGGCATAGATGATAACGTCATACTATAATTAGATTTGGAATTGTGGACCAAGTGCCCTGGTACGGCCGAGAGTGGGGAGAGTCAGATCTCCCTCTCAAACTCCTCTCACATGGCCACGTGCATACAAACACTGCTATGGAAGTCCTACTCATTGCCTTCTAGCAATGGGGGTGTTGTTTACGAAATTAAGAGAACAAGAAACGAATGTCAGGCTCTTTAACCGAGTTAGTGGGTATGAAGGATCCACTTAGGTGAGTCGGAAAACCCTGATTCCAAACCAATGGTGCACATGAGCTCCAGGACCCTGAAGGAAACAAGTGGCCTTTGAACAAATTGTTGGTCACCGGCTACCATGGGAATGCATCTTCTGACGTTGCTCCACTGTTTTGTTGATCAGACCTTTAGGTCGAAGTCTCGGAGTGTGGTCCTCTAAGAAAACCACCAGCTCGGTTTGAGCACCCAGAAAGTATCCCAGCCCACATAGAAATCAAGTGACTTGTGTGGCGCACGTGTATTCGGTGCTCTTTGTACCAATATTTATATGTTCAAATAAATCGTATGTGAGATAGTGATCGTATGATGATGAAGAGTCATAAACTAAGACAGACCGATATTCATAACTCTATTATGCTCGTTTATATTTTAATATGTTTAGGATAATAGATTCAATGTAATCAAAATATATGGATTTAAATGTATTCATGATTGCAATTGAGCATTACTGAGCCCCTGTTGATTTTAAAAGTCAGGAAACCAAGATTTTATTTCCTGATATCGATCACTGGTCCAGGTAAACTGTCATCAATATGTTAATACGACAAAACTTCATATATGAGGACCATTTTGACATAAATATACTGAAAGTTGGTCAATATTTTATGAATTTATTTTTTCAGTTCTTATTCATAGTAACTGGCATTTTTTCTTACAAAAACCTTATTACCTATTAGAACTGCATTTTGTTAGAGGCATTTACATGATACAAAATATCACCAGTCGTTGTGTATTTGTTGATCAGAAAAATCATTTTTATTACTTTTGACCGATCTAATAATTTAAAGAAATGCACACAGATTATCTAAGAAATTTAATTTAGGTTCCAAATAATTTATGTATTAACCATAATTAACTGAAATAAATAGAAGAGTCAGGTGTGAAATATCAATAACTATCTTACTTCCTTACTAGGTGTAAACCAATCAACTGACTTGTAAACACGCTTAAATCTGTTTAATACCCAACTTATTAATGTCAATTTATTAGAATACAAGAGATTAATTTACACGTTATATATAATGTGACTAGTAACATATCTAAAAGCTTTCTTTAAAGAGCATTGGGAATAAGGAGTCAATCCGCACAGGTTACAAATATGTCAGTTCAGATTAATCAATTTCATTTCTTAACATTAACAAAGAGACGGTTTCAAATCAAGTTTCTACAGTTTAAGATATTCGTCAATAATCTATATTATGATTATTGGAATCATTGACTAATAATCATACTATGTGATATTTTCAAATAAAAATATTACTAGTGTTGTAATGTGTAAATATAACCGATTTGTTAACTCAGGAGCATTGATTTTCATTTTCAAGTTTTTAACGTGTGTACTATCAAATATTTTAGTGTGCAATATACCATTCTTGTTAAATTTTAAGCTCAAAATTGTGTGATTATGTACTTGTTAAATCTAGAATATTTCAGTTTTTTGAGACTTAGCTACGAGATCGTCTAATTGACTGTAC